TTTGCCGTTTTGACATTGGGCTCCCTGGTGATCTTAACTTCAGGCACAGCTCTATCCAGGAAATGTATTTTCTAGTTTCTGTTAGTTTTACTTGAAACCGGTTTTTTCTTTGGTGTATTGTTCTTAGCATTAGATGTTTTTTTCTGTGGAAACTGTGTGAATTTCCTCCAAGGTTCGAGCGGCAGCATAGACACAACAATTAACTTCATGTAATGAACAGTCCGATGAAAGTTTCATAGAAATAATATCATTTAATAAATTGATTTCATTTTTGGGAAAAGATTCATTTGTTTGTTTAATTGGCCTCCGATATTCTAAAGGTATGCCAGATATTTTATCAAATTAGGTCTTCAGACGAAACGAAAGTCTGGAAGACCTACTGTTTTACCCGGATTATTATTCTTCTTATTCTTCTTCTTCTTATTATTTGTACGTTTTTTGTGACAGCTCTCCTGACCTAACCGCTTGGTCGATTTTCATGAAACTTTCAGGGATGATAGCCTGTATGCTGAAATTGAAACATAGTCGAAAAATCCCGACTTCCGGCTTCCGGTAAGGGCAGACAACCCAAAATGTCGAAATCTTTGCACCTGAATAACTCAAAAACTATGAGAGATAAATTGACCAAATTTTCACTCAATGTAGACAACATCATTCCCCAGCGACTCAACGCATAGCGGAAGTTGGCCGCCATGACAGATTTTCCGAAATTTTGGAAAAACTGAACTTTTGCCGATTTCAGGGTTTTGACGGTGCCTGTCTTTAAAAATCTTCTCCTCCAGAACGGCATATAGTACAATCGTGTTCGATACGCCGTTGGAAAGCCGATACTCTTGACTACTTAGTTTGCTCAAGGCATGTCGATATCTTGAATGGTTTTGGAGTTATCGCCCTTGAAAGTTGGTGAATGTTTTAGACGCGTTTTCATAGGGTTAAGAAAAAGGTCTCAACTCTGCGAAAAATCAGTGGATTCCTAAATACCAACCTGTAGGTAATTGAATGGGAAACATTTTTGCTTCACATCATGGTTATGTAAAAATCAATAATAACGTCACCATTACGACGCAAACACGGCCTTCGCACATTTCCGCAACTTTTTGACGGTGCCTCTGTTTTCAATCCTCTGCTCCTGAACGGCAAATAGTACAATAGTGTTCTATATATCGTTTTAAAGCCCACACTCCGGACTACTTAGGTTGTTCAATGCATGTCGATATCTTGAATAGTGTCGGAGTTATTGCCCTTGGAAGTTGGTCAATTTTTGGCAAAACGCATTTTTATAGGGTTCACAGCTCTGCGAAATGGATTTTCTTTTTTGAAGGTACCAAACTGTAGACAATAAAATGTGGAACAATTTTGCTTCAGACTATTATTATGTAAAAGTCAATAGTTACGCCACAATTACGCCCCAAACAGGGAGGGACATGAGGATTTCGCATTTTTTCAGTTGTGAGAAAACTAACTCAAGGAAGCAGCGAGTGTTGCTAGATTTTAATGTCGCTTCCTTCAGTCAGTTATCTCATATCACAGGAAGCGCCAGTAAAATCTAGCAACAGTCGCCGCTTCCTGGTATTCCAGTGCCCCAAAAGCAATGCGCTTTAAGTAACAACTGGGACTCCAGCAGTTTGTTTATCAGCTTGACTGTGCCAGGATCGCGCAAACCCGTTCTGCTACATCATCATGATTGCAGGAATCCAGCACATAAACGCACATTTGATACTCCTCAGCAGAGAAGATGTATATTTTCAAAATGTTTGTTTTATAGACAGTTTGCTGTGAGCCTTCATAACATATTTCTTTATACTATGACTGAATATCAGCCTGAACCGGTCAGTTAATTTGGTGATATTTCATGGAATGTTCTTGAATACTGCAAAAGACAGCTTTATTCTGCATTAATAGACATTGTAAATACACAGTCAAAGTGAGTTTTATTTAAAAAACATCTATTCATTACGTTGTCATTGAAAAACAGAAAAGTAATAACATGAAATTTAAAAGCAGACAATTTGTTAGTCACATTACACAGTTGCAATTTATGATACAGATAAACATCCCACAGGTCGTTCACTATCAGATAAAAGCGCTCACGCGGGAGAACAGATATCTCCTATAAAAAGACTACCACTGCAAAGCGTGGTTCATGTGCAAATACGGGAGACGATGTGAATTTCAACGCCAGATGTAATTGACAATGACAAGGAGCTGTCAAATCTGAGCTGGAAGTCATCCAATGCCCAAAGAAATAGTTTCCCTTGAATTGTCCTTTACGTTACATCGGCATTATCCTAGCCATACAGCATCGAGAATAAGTTTGCATGAATAAACATTGTAAGTACAGAGTCAGATATGAGTTTTATTTCAATTTTTGTTTTGAATGGGTGTTTAACAAATGCACTATATACACATAAATCTATGGGTTTTTTTTCACAAGAGCAGTATATGCACATACGTGTATGCGTCAGATAGCTAGGGTCATGGTGATTCCAGAGCTCTAATCGTTTGGACCGTAGACCCAAGGATGGCGGAGCTACCCGCTGTTAAAGAGAGAACTATATCTTCTATGGGAACTATTTAAAAGGTACATGACCCCGCGACCCCGGCTGCATTTCACCGATCCGCTCTCGTGTCAAAAACGTGTTCTGCCTGCGTTTTGGACGCTTTCTAGCCCTTCAATACACTTCAAACACCCGTAACTCCGAGAGTTAAAATGGACGCTCCAGCTGGCGTCCAAAGAAACAGTACAAGTGAAGGTAGCCACGGGGGGTGTATGGGGGAAGTCTGAAGACCGTCAGTATTGCCCAAGAGGCAATCCTAGTTTGTGCACATGGTCATGCTACACAGGCCACTTCATAGATGTCATTTTGCTGTTGATATCGAGGTGCAATATTAGTCTCCATGAAATACACTTCTGTCATTCACTCGGATACCTTTAGTTTTTGTTAATAGTGAGATGGTAACACATATTTATCAAATACAAAGGTTTGGCCAACATATAAGCACCTAGCAATATTTAATGTAATTGGTAGCCTTACATATATCGCAGTTAAAGTTGAAACAGTTTACACCCAAAACATCTTTAAAGGTTGGAATACAATTAAGCTGCTTACCGTCACTACATTTTGTCCAAACTGTTACCATAGATGTCCTAACCGTAACCTTTAATTCATAAAGACTATAGATCTTAGAGAAAATAGAAACTTAACGTGATAAATTCGTTTTGGTTTTTATTATTAGAAGCAGAAAGATAAGTAAATAGAAATTTATAATCCCACCATAGAACATATTCTTTAAAATTGAAATTTATTAAAGATATGTCCAGACCGTTTCTATTATTTGTCCAAACCGTTACTAGAGACTGTTTTTTTATGCTACTACATCAAAACTCCTCTGAACAGTAAAATTCCATGTTTAAACTTATCCTAACTCTTAAAGTAATTATATATTTGTTATATTTCCAATATTAATGAACAACGTTTTGAAATACAAATCATTTTGTTCTGACCGTTACAAGGACTGTCCAACCCGTTACTTTGCAGAATGGTAACGGTTTGGACAGTAACGGTCAAGGCAATTTGTAAGTAAATCTAAAATTAAAAAATAAATGATGCCTAAAAGATTTCAAAGGACATGCCTTCCACCTTTCCCATTTCTGGGCACCATATCCATTGAAATTTTATATTAAAAAGAGATATATTTGACACAAAATACATTGGTAACGGTCTGGACAATTAAGGTTGACACATAACATTTATACTTATTTGATGGTGTCAATTTTCTGCAAAATGTGTTGAATTTCATCTGCTGTCACATGCACAGGGGCTAGCTTAAGCAGACACAGGAAGTAGAATACAATCCAGCTCCAGGGGGGAAGTATTGCAGGAATTTTATACACTGGTAACGGTCAGGACACAAAATCAAAGGACAAGCATGTTACAATTTGTAGGAAAAAATTAAAACAAAATTAAATGCAGTTTGAGTATGCCTGTTCAGTCCTAATCGGCACAATATGAATTAGTTTGTTTATTTGCATTTATATTTACAGCATTTGTGAACATTGATATTAGGACCGTCACCTCCGGACAGAGCAATTTTTGAAAATTACCCATATAGTTTATTTTTTAATGTATATATTTATATGTATAATGTTATATTTATTTAACAAGGAAATACATATAATAATATATCTCCATGGTACATTTTCACAAAGTACAAATCAAATCAAAATTATTTATATACATGTACATATATTTTCAGTTCTTCAAAATAACACATAGATTATGGAAAGTATTGAAAGATAAACATTGTGGATCAACAATAGTCTGCTCAGTTTAAGATACACATTACTGATGAGATTAACGGCAAAGATTCATTAGATTAAGCATAACAATTTATTCAAATGTAGGCAGTCAAATCCTATGAAGAAATTTCAAGAATGGCGATGTACATAAATAAAATACAAAACAGGTTCCCCTAGTCGTTAGGGTTTTGGGGATATTCTTCTTTCCTTATTTGTTGAGAAAATGTTAATTCAAGGTCATTTACTGACCAATATAAAATTTACGTTTGTTAAACCACATTGTAAACTTTACAAAATAACGATTGATGTTGGTCTTTCCACTCGCGAGACAGTTAAGATACATGTAGAACATAGGTGAGATACGTGTAGAACATAGGTGAGATAGGTGTAGGACATAGGTGAGATACGTGTAGGACATAGGTGAGATACATGTAGGACATAGGTGAGATACATGTAGCACATAGGTGAGATACGTGTAGGACATAGGTGAGATACGTGTAGGACATAGGTGAGATACGTGTAGGACATAGGTGAGATACATGTAGGACACAGGTGAGATACATGTAGGACATAGGTGAGATACATGTAGGACATAGGTGAGATACGTGTAGGACATAGGTGAGATACGTGTAGGACATAGGTGAGAGACGTGTAGGACATGGTTGTTATTATCACACTTCTATTGTCCTTTCTGTTTCAGAGTTACGGTACGGATGTTAGCTGAAAGTATTTCCGCCCGCCTAGATGAGTATGATCTGTAATGCCTGAAAGCTCGGGAACTGGAAGGAAAAGAAATTGTCAAGTTATAGACAGCGTTTCATTGATATCACATGGCCATCTATAAAGGATGTGTGTCCGTCCAAATCTTATATGTACCTGTACTGGTATTTTAAGAAAGACATATAGGTTATCACGCGAGTGTGTTTTGGGATTGTTAATATCCTGCATTAGGAATAATCATTGTATTTAGCGAGCCTTGGCGAGATAAATACATAGTGTTTATTCCTAATGCAGGATTTTAACCATCCCAAAACACACGAGTGTGATAACCTATTTATCATACAATGTCATTTTTGCTTTATAATTTAAAAAAATGCGATTTGAAACGCTACAAATCATGAAACTAAACTTTGTGGAATGTATATGACGTCACAAATGTGTGAGGAGAAATACGTGACGTCACAAGCCCGGTGACATAAATTTTCTCCTGATCACGCAGTTGACTGCGGTAGGTGATCTAGTTCCCAGTAAGATTTATGCTAAAGCACGTATTGTTGTCAACAAACCTTAGCTTACGTTTGAAAAATAACAACAAACTCGCGTGGAACTTCAGAAACCTTCAATTAACCTTTCGAACAACAAAATACGCTTTAATGTTCGCGTGACATTGTGCACCTATGCCGTTCTCTTGCTAACACTGACAGTCCGACTCGGCCGGGGAACTGATGTTGGTATCTTCGTAAGCCTATGAATTTCTATCTTCGCTTTATAATCTATTCCATCTATCATAACCAGGCATGATTTTTTTGGGATCAAAGCATTGACAGTACCGTAACAACGACCGTCAACAGCGGGGTTTCAGAGTTATCCCGTGATTCCGTGCGCGCCGCCATGTTGGTTGTCATTCGCGTCCCCAGCAACCATAGCGTCACTAGCAACTATCGTCTACGCATACGTCTGTCTGCTTCAGTCCGTCATCTAACCATCTGTCATGGAGAATTATGCAAACTAACTGGATAAAGCATCTCGCATACGATATATCGAGAAGACTATTGTGATAGACAACGAAGATCCGTACAGTATTCCCAGATCGGAATGGAGTGACGACCACAAGTATTTGCCGGCAACAAACTATGTCGACATCGTGAACTATGTGGTGTTCAGCCCTAGCCCTTTTTATAGTTTATCCGATATGAGAAACTATAGGAGTCTGGAAGCATATGACAGATTTGTTTGTGGCTGGGTACGAGACATCGTCTCATATGTGCATTTATCCGTCCAAGATGGAAAGGCCATTCATGTCGTGATGTCAAAAGTAAGTAAACAATAATTTACCTACATCAACAAATGTGTGTTTGCAAATATACAATGATAATATTCTAAACATAACATAGGCTCTGTTTATTTAGCAGGGTTGCCACAGGTCAGGGAAAAGTCGGGGAAGAAATAATTTTTCCAAGATCAGGGAATTTTGTTACAAAAGTCAGTGAAAATTGAAGTTTTGGAAAAAAGTCAGGGAAAACTAGTTCTTTTTAAACTTCACTGAGGCAACGATTGTATGAATTTGAGTTCCATGTCTGTATTAAATGTGTTTTTGTATAGATATTGGTATTATGAACTTTAATTTACTTGTTTTGGCAGTGTCCATTTGTAGACATATTTTGGAATATCTTTCAAGGATGTTTGACACAGAAATGTGACCAAATATTCAATCTGAAGCTCTCTGCTGAACTTTTTATGTTTGGGTTTGACTCAAATACTGTCCCAGCTACTGTTTTTGACCTCTTACTATCAATGTCTATGTTCTTTGTGTGTTCTTTTTTTTTTTGAAAATGTCAGTATTTCTACCAGTAAGATTTTATACTATACAAAGTCACCCTTTTCCTGGAGGTGATCCTCAATCTTGCAACAGGGACTTTAAAATGAACACATTGAAATTAAAAAAGAAAATCAAAACTTATGTGTCAGAGTTTGCCAGAGGTAATATTTCTGTGTCATACACTTCATCTTGATGTTAGATTGAACTCTGTGTTTGTTTGATCACTTTGTCTTAAGTACAATGGATAGAAAGGTCGGCTGTAGGGGGAGGTTGGAGGCCGAAATTTTATTTGTTTTCTTTTAATTTTGATCAGTGAAAAATCAAATTGGTCAGGGATAAGTCAGGGAAAGTATGGAATTTGAACTTTCGTCATCTGTGGCAAACCTGTGTAGAGTACAACAATATTTTAGTTACCTTTACACTGATTTAACAGTAGAGATAATGTTGATACAAAATCCAAAATGTCTTTAGCGTGTTAATAAAATTTTGTACATACTAATTGCCTTCAGTGTGCTGCGATGAAAAGCCTTGGTTTAGTAAAACTGCCACATTTCAATCAATTTCTTAATATCATATAGCATTATGTCTGAACAAAAATTAATTCCTGCACTGTATTTTCACAGGTTATGCATTCCCAGCGCTTGAATGAAGCTCCATTGCAGCCCTGGTTTATCACTGATGACGCTGGCACAGTTTTATCAGCTCATTGTAACTGTATGGCGGGTTTGGGTGAATCATGCTCACATGTGGCAAGTATGATGTTAGCTGTTGAAGCTATTGTGAGATTAAGAGAAACCGACACTGTCACACAGCAACCTGCATACTGGAAACTTCCAGCTTCTCTTAAAAAGGTTAACTATGCATGTCTAAGAAAGATTGATTTCACCTCATCAAAGACTTTGAAAAAGAAACTTGACCTGTTAATTGAAGGTTCTACGACATGTTTGACTTCATCAAGTGCTAAACATATCAAGGAGTTAAAACCTACATCTACCGTCAGTTTTGACAATTTCCTTCACACTATTAATGCAGATAAACCATCTTGTCTTGCGGTTCATAGTGATTACAGTGATCAGTATGTACCTGTACCATTACAACAACAATTTCCTCAAGTGATCACTGAACTATTTGATGAAAGTATGGTTGGCATCCCATACAGTGATGTTTTGCTACACTGTCACAACGTTATAAATCAACTAAACATTACAGCAGAGGAGGTTTCAGCAGTGGAAGCAGCAACAAGAAACCAAGCGTGTTCCCCAGTTTGGTTTCAGTTCAGGGCTGGTTGTATAACAGCATCAAAGATGAAGAGTGTCAATCGTACATCACTGTCTGACCCTTCGAGGAGTTTACTTCGCCACATCTGTTACCCGACGGAGGTCAAGTTTTCTAATCCAGCTACGAGATGGGGATGTAGCCATGAAGTAACAGCTAGGGACACCTATGAGAAATTGTCTTCTGAGCGTCACCATAACTTCAGTGTTGAGGAATGTGGCTTATTCCTCAGCTGTGAGTATCCACATCTTGGGGCAACTCCTGATGGTATTGTTGACTGGCTGTTCTGGAAGGGGCTGTCTTGAGATTAAGTGTCCATTCTGTGCAAAGGATGACTTTGTTGATAGTAACATAGTTTACTTAGAGGAGATTAATGGGTCACTGCAATTAAAAAGGGACAGTCAGTATTATTACCAGGTGCAAACACAGCTATTTGTAACTAATCATGATTACTGTGACTTTGTTGTTTGGACAAACAATGATATATTTGTGGAAAGAATTACACCTTGTATGGTATTTTTGAAACCAGTAGCTGATCATGCAATGCAGTTCTTCACATCCATTATTCTACCAGAGATTGTTGCACGCCATTTCTTGAACACATGTACAAGGGTTGCTGAAGAAAGAGTCGACAAGGAAGTGTTTTGTACATGCCAGAAGCCAGAAGATGGAAGGAGGTATATTGGCTGTGATGGGAAAGAATGTACAGTGAGATGGTTTCACTTCAAGTGTGTTGGTCTTGTGCGAAAACCGAAAGGGAAATGGTATTGTAAACACTGTTCTACAAATAACACAAGAAAGAAGCGGAAACACAATAGTGAAGAGTGATGTTTCATGAACAATATCTTATCAGTATAACTTTACTTATGTGTCTCAAGCCTCGCTGACACCAAGCAACTTGTTCTGTGTCTGTGATGACACACCACCTCTTTATTGAACTTGTTTTCAAAATGATATTGATGTCATATTTTGTTGGCACTACACCAAGGCCAACATAGAACAAAAATAATCACAGATAATGTTTCAGCACGTTAAGAATAGTTTTATTACTAGAATTGACAGATTGTACATTTGAGCAGTAACTCATAGACTTGTGTATGAAATATTTTCCATTGGTTTGTGAAATGGTCTATGACATCAATAGTTGCTGGGATAATTATGCAGCTGAATTATTGTGTGAAACAAAATATCAGTAAAGTCATTTGAATAAGATGTGATTTCACTTACAAATAATTTTGTGACATATGATCTGCTTGAATAATGACAACACAACACAGTGTTTGAAATAGCTACTTGCCTGCTAGCCAAATGCTAGCTGATTGTGAATCGGGCCAGTAATATACTGTTAAAGCAAAGCTGTCCGAACTGGCTCAGTATATCAGATAATTTGTTCTTTGTTTAATGTACATGAATATGATGAAGTCATTTATTAACATGATTAAGGTGTTAAAAGTCTGTCCTCAAAAGTTTAGTGATATATATTATCTCTTGCCACACGAAGATCACCATATAGAAAATGTTAACAGCATTGCGCAAAAGAAGTTAGGAACCATTACTACAATACAAATGTATTGTTTCAAAGGGTTGACAATAACCTACCATCTGTAATTACCAAGCATAATACCAGGCCTGGCCAATGTGCATGCTAATATTGATATTTTGCAGGGCCTGTGAAGTATGATATGGGCAAGCGACAGTTTTACATAACTAGCCCTCCTTGCCAGTGACTTTTTAAACTTAATTCAATCTGAACACATCTATGATCATTAATGATGAAGTTATCAAATAATACCTTTTTAAAACTTGAAGTGAACAACATTGATCATGGTCATGTTAGAAACATAGATTACATAATTTTCAGATAATAGTATATCAGATGCAAACTACAATGTGGTTCTAGTCGCCATTAAACATGTCAAGGTGGGTGTATCACCGAGTGCTAAATATGCAAACATTAAACACATTTGACCTTTCATTTATGTTTTTCATCTTTTGTAAGTCTCACAAGATATAAGTAGCCTTCACTCAAATGGAACAACTGATGGACACATTTTGGTAAGTGCACAGCAAACATGGACAAGCTTGTCAAGTAATGGATCAGTTTCATTACACTTTGTCATTAGGTAATCAATGGGAATAGTGCTACTGAGGATCATGTATTTTTGACGGACACTACCAATAACTCTTTCAACATGAATTCTTACATTGGCAATTTTTCTTGTTTCCTCTACTTCAGTGCCACTTAACTGTGGTTTACCTCGTGTAAATGCTGGAATCCTTAACTCCGCTCCTACAGAACCAATAATTTCTTGTATATCAAAGCCTCTATCTGCTAATACTATATCAGCGTGGAGAAGATGATTGGTGAAATCACTATTATTTGTTAAATACTTATCACTTACACGACCTCCCCATCCCTCAGAAATGTAACTTACAGAACCTTGGGGAGTGATGCCAATAAAATATTTTACAGTATTATGATGCTTGTACGTTGACCATGTCTGGGTTCTAGCTGTCAAATTGGATGGTCTATCACTAAAAATCTCAAAACAGTCTATAATAACAGACACTCTGCGTCCAAAATACCTTCTGAATACCACTGGCATCGTTCTCCATAAATCCTCTCTATCTGGCCAGAACACAAGTTGTTTCAAGTTGATGTAGAAGACATCCATAACCTGATTAAATGTCCTGGAAATTGTAGCTTTGCTGACCCCAAACCTGTAACTTAGGTCAAGAGTGGGTAAATTCAGTCTGAGTCTCATTAATGTAATAATTAACTTTTGAAACTTTGTCAGAGATGAATGTGAAGACTGACAAATTCCATATGATACAAGATTGAACAATGCAATTAGTGTTACAAAAGAAGGCGGACCAGTATAATATCGTACTTTATCATCATCACCTTCAAAGTCTTCAGTATTATTTGCTTTCATTTTATGAACTATCTTCTTAAGTAGATTATTCTCATGTTTTAAAGATTCATTTTCTGACTTAAGAATGTCAATTTCAATTTTGCAACTTTTAAGTTCCTGTTCGGGTGTAATATCATGCTCTTGATCTACTGGTTCAGTGTCTGATTCTGCCTCACAAAGTTCCTCTTCAACTTCAAGATCAAACCGCAGGTTCCGGAGTCTTGATGCTTCCTTGCGCTCCTAAATGACAAAGAACACAAGTCCTTACAATAAACCTTATATATATGATGTAAATAATTTAAGATTGAGGGGAATATCTGTGTTACATACTACAGCAAAAATCGATTAACCTTGCACCCCTCAATTTGACTTCTTTTGCATGTTCAAGGAATTTCAAAATGAACAGAAAGACAGAAACATTTCATTTAATTAAGTGTCACAAGTCAGTAACATATGAAATATACATACATAAAAAATATCAAACATGTTTAGGGACCCTTCATAAATTATGGCCAGGGGGGTGATGATGATTTTTTTCGAGAACCATGAACAATGTGACTGACACCCCTAAAATTTATGCACAAAGTAAGTGACCCCCCTCTGCATGTCATGTACAAAATTAATTACCCCCCTTCCCATATTTTTTAAGCCTAATTATTAAATATTTCCATGTACAAAATTGCTGACCCCCAAGAAATTTGTGTACAAAATTGCTGACCCCTCCCACCTCCTCAGAACAAAATAAAAATGGGTGAACCCCTTAAAATCATCGCCATCACCCCCCAGCCATAAATTATGAACGGTCCCCTTACTTTACCTGCAGACGGAAGAAACGAGAACCCTTGTTGTCATTGTCAGCCTTGCCATAGCCAAGTTTCAAAGTTGGTATCCAATCGGGATGAAGAAGAGAATGGAGGAGATTATTTGATTATTATCGTCATCATCACAATATTACACAATTATTGTCTTGTGGTGTTAACTGCATAACTGTACTGCAGTATGGAGGCATGCAGAGTTCAGGCATGTTCCTACTGTTAAATTATCGGTGACAGCCTCAATTTAGCCTGATATGTCACAGATCACCTGGACTATTTCATATATTGTGGCCTTATATAATTCAGCGAAGTGGGTTAAAATTCGTGTATTGAATTGATCATGTCGACGCAGAAACGAATAATTTCGTCACGCCAGAGCTGGTTTGGAAAGACAGATAATTCCTTCTATCGGTGTCATACTACTACTGACAGGATAACGAGTTTGATTAGTAAGACAACCGAACCTACTATCGTATTACGCAGAGTTACCGGCTATAGTCACATATTGTACTTACCACCAACAAAATGATCGCTGCACACACGCATGTATTTGGTATCCTTGAATGCAAGATCCTCCCGATTAACAGCTGCAAACCACAAACGGCGCCGTTTCTGACTGAGATCTCTTGTTTTCTCATCGCTATTACTAATAATAGCTGGGAATCTGAAAAATCTCTTCTTGTGTCTCGGGTTGCACGATTACTACATTCAAACACCGCGCATGAAACGGGCATATCGGCATCAGGTGGAATATCGCACTTGTTTACTTTTCGCGCTTCCAAGGTTGACAACCAACATGGCGGCCGCGCACTGCATCATGGGCACTGAAACCCCTCTATCCGGACACGACCGCCGACGTTTGACGCCATGTTTGTTTACACTGTGAAAGTAGTCCTTGAAATTTGCGTATGACCTCTCTAATTTGCATCGATATCCGTATATGACCCCAACGGATACCGAAAATATCCGTTGGCTTTATCCTGCCGAGAACACTATCCATTGTATGATAAATAACGATATTTCGCTACAATTTTCTTAAGTCATCGATTTGTGGAACGGGGCACTTGAGTTTCGAGGTATTTTGGACACATTGAAACAGTATGCTATTTGGGATAAATGAAGTTTCTAAGACACCCTTTGAACAGTTTCCACTGTGACTGTATTTCCATCATGTTTTCAGGAATATGCACAGCGGGCAACTACAGAAATGCGACCGACAACACGTGTTACCCATGTCCTGTTGGGCAATATCAACCTCAGGACCTCCAAGATCAGTGTTTGTCTTGCAACAGCAGCTACAGCACCAGCGGCACCGGCACCGTGAACGCCACTGGATGTATCTGTGAGTTGACAGTAATGAGTAATCGTCACACCAGTTAATGAGAATCTTCAACCACCGCTTCCCAAACTGTGACTCTGGCTCGATATACATACAGAACACCTGGAGGTGCAGTTGTCGCAATCACTTCATATCTTTCTTGCATTTAGTCGACATTTCCAGGCCAGGACATGTTGACAGTCAAATAGTCTCTGAATACGCCAGTAGCCAAATTATGAGTTAGGATTTACTTCTGCCACATGTTCTAACCACGCTTATTTCGTAACAAAGTCAAATCAATTAGGTGATGTCTTGTGACTCTTCCAGTCTTCTGTCCCGATGGCTATGACCTGAAAACACCTGGCACCACGACCTGCACCCTTTGCCCCCGAGGAACCTACCGCTCCAACACAGACCTTCTCAGATTTAAAACATGCCAACCTTGTGCTGACAGCACAAAATCAACAGACAACGTCGGATCTAAACTAGCCTCTGATTGTAAAATCAGTAAGTACTGTTTACAATGTGTTCATTATGGAACGCTTTACGAACCAGACAGACCCAGACACATGATGGTTGAAGCGACGACATGTGTCTCTTTACAGTCACTGAGGATCGTAATCTCTTGAAAATACAGCACGACACATATGTAACACTACAAACCATGCAACGACTATGTAGATACCATAAACACATAGGCGACAAAATCTCCCCATGATAATACGAAATACCCGCGTTAAAGGAAGAGTCCCTTTTACCACAAGCATATGGTTACGAATCACCAGGTGGGAATACCCGGTGTTTCTGAAAAGGTGAACCTGTCCTGCCACAAACACATGCACGGGAAAGTCAAGTGTTCATCTTGAAAACACGGATATTCACACAGTGAAGCCACATTCTACCATGACTTCAGTAAACACTGGATTGTGATTGGTTAATTAAAGTCATTCAGAGGTATATAATCACGTTATACAGGTCTCTGTTTTCCGTGCGCAATCATACATGGTTTACGGTAATGCACTATTTTTGTCTGCCCACTAACATGGCGGACACCAAACAACCCACCGATGCATCGATAAATTACGGCGATTTTGCTGTCGGAAATTACACATATGTCTTTAAAGATGGATTTAGCGATGACGGGCTCGACTCACAACTTGCGTAAATCACAGCAATAGGTGTTTATACATACAAAAGTACTTCGAAAGCATGGAAACAAATATTCAGTCGAACAAGATCAAAACATCGTCTGCTTTACGAATAAAAATTCCACAAAAACAAATATGTTTACGTTGATTTTATGTTATGTCAGAATAGATCCAGCAATAGACTGCTACATAATTTCCGTGTTAAATTTATTATCAGCTTTCGTCAGCGATATCGCCACTGATCTTGATCCGGTAACGGAGGATGCATTAACATCGAACGCCGAAGAAATTGTAATGCCTTCCGTCCACATAAATAAACAGTTGGGTTATCAATTCAAACAAAATGATATTTTGAAATTTGCACTGTTTCAAATTTAGCGGTAGTAAAACACAATTACAGAATCTGCAAACCGTTCTGTTTAGCCCAACATATTTTTTTTCTAAAAGTATAATATCGTTGAAAAGTTATTTAGCTTAGTCATGATCCCTCTTATCCATTAAACTGCTTGATCTAAAGTAGTCTATTAAAGTATAATTAATTACCTTACCGTGTTTATGCCAGAGGTACACCCTCGTGTCCTGATCCATCCTTTCGGAAATATCACCACAAATCTGGCTCTTTGTCAACAGACTCCCGAACATGCCAGCGAATCCGATTCAATTTGAATTCACTACACTTTGAAGCCACTAGGTCACAAAACACTTTCCAAAATGTAGAAAATAATATCCGTAGAATCGAATTTGAGCACAAAGTACACACATGAGTGTGTAAGAGTCACCACAGCTGTCGCACGCAGACGTAGAGGTGCGTGAAATCGTCAAGTTGACAGGGCGCAAAATTCAACAGTATCTAAATTCGGTACAACACGGACTTCTCGTTACAGCAAAAGCGCCCCTACTCTTAAATTTTGTACCAGTACCAGTAATTAGATATCAAAGACTATTTCAGTCATACAATCAGGTTAACCTTGCGCAAACTGTCAGAGGCTCTCCTGTCGCATCTTTCCAAATTTGCACGTAAATGTAAACAAGGACTTCCGAGAAAAGGTCAAGGCCATGAGGTTGCTGCCATTATTCTGGTGGGGTAAGGGTCTACTGTGGAATTTTCAAATGTGAACCAAGCTTTTTAAACTTATTTGCTATATGTTTTCCAACTTATCAGTTAATGATTGGTGATTGATGCATTGAAAAAACAAAACGTGATTTGTTATTACTGAATCTGGAGTTTGTTAGTCATTGACGGTTTCCACCAATCACCCCGTTTCGGGCGATGCCACTTGAGATTGGAATGCGAGGCCGCTTCACGTATTGACCAAAGAAAGAGCTCCACCTGAAATTGTTCATAAAATTGTCATGGTAGAATGGAGATAAACCTACTGTGTGGGAAAATCAGAGGTATATAACGAAATTATAATAGCTCTAAATTGTTCATTTAAAACCTCACGCTACGCGTTCGGTTTTAAATGAAATTTAAACTATTATTATAATTCGTTATATCTGATTTTCCACAATAGGTAGGTTTATCTCTAATTAAATCAAGCCACGTACATGTGGAACAGTGTCACGATTGTCACAGTCTGAATAGAGACCCCTGACCCCTGACCCCTGACCCCAGCGTGTGGTAGAATTCACAATGTAATTGCTAATAACAACAGCAACCATAGCTAACAACATTCCTGGGCGTTCAACTAAAGACTCCGAAATACATACGGTCAGAAGAAAACATAACAAACTGTGGGTACGCAAAAAGCAAATATGTTGAAAGGGAAAACAGAAACATGGCCTTTATGCTCATCTGATGGACAAAAACTGATAAAAAGTAAAAAATAATTTATTACTGCCACAGTATATGTTCGATCCATACCTGGCAGAAGGGTAATGTGTCCAGTATCTTCAGCCGCATCACCATGCAACATTTGCTTAAGACAACACATTAATAGAAAACACGACAGGCGTTAATGTCAAGTAGTTGGTGACTTAGGAAGACACTGCTAAGTTTAAACTACATGGAAGGTCAACATACGTCTTTACAAATGGCGTTTTCACTGAGCGTGGAGAGCAAGGATCGATGGAATACGCAAAACTTTAAAATCAGATTCGACTGCGAGTGAGGAGCATTTGAATTGTTCTGACTTTCCAGGTAGATCTATCTCCAGACCTATTTCCAGGTAGATCTATCTCCAGACCTATTTCCAGGTAGATCTATCTCCAGACCTATTTCCAGATAGACATATCTACCTTTTTCAGCGTCTCACGTGGTTCTACCTGAAGCTTTCACAGAAGTCGTGGTCGGTGCTCTGCTGTTGATCGCCCTGGCCGTATGTTGTTACTGCGCGCGCCGGTACATTGTGTAGGTGCTGTTTAACTCCAAGAAGACGTGTGTAAGAATTACGTACATGCAGGGAGAGACATAACTTTACAAACAATAATATCTTTCTGTCAAGTGTGAAAAAATATATTGAGGTTAACAGTATGTCAAACAGACGCTACCCGTGAAGGTCCGGGTTAGAATAAACCTTCAGTAACCCATGCTTGTCGTAAGAGGCGACTAACGGGATCGGGTGGTCAGGCTCGCTGGCTTGGTTGACACATCCAATTGCGCATATCGATGCTCATGCTGTTGATCACCGGATTGTCTGGTCCAGACTCGATTATTTACAGACCGCCGCCATATAGCTTGAATTGTGCTGAGTGCGGCGTAAAACTGAATTCACTTACTCACTCCACACACGGGCAAACCATGTCCTCCTGGCTCCACACAGCAAACAAACACACATGCACTCCTCACGCTTAAACATTTATTGGTCTCTTAACACAACAGAAAACGCAAGAGGAGTCGAGAGGAAAGGGACCAAACCGCATACTCTCTGCAAGCACATGAACCGCGGTCTGACAAACCAGGACAAGCCAGATCACACAACGCTCGAGGAGAGTGACTCCAAGACACACCAGACAACAACAGACCTCTCGGGAGAGGTGAGCTACATCGAGGATTAGTATTGTCCATTTCAATTCACAAATATACTACCCATCAAAAGTTTAGACTCACTAGTGTAAATGTAGCCACTTACTTGTCCACTGTTCTAAACTAGCTTTTTGCAAAATATTCCATACTGTTTAAAGGTACTGTTTAGTTATGAACTGGTGTATTGTAAAACATATTCGTAACATTGAAAAGATTATTGTCATGAGTTCAGTAAATGATTAAAATCTGTGAAAATTGGCGAATTCTTAACAAAACTTTACACCAAAACGCATCTGTTCACATGCACGACATTTGCTCATGCCTTTCGCAATTTGAAGCATCATCCTTGTGCAATTCATCTGCATAAGGTTTTCAGTTGGTTCCCCCAAGTTGGTGGAGAAATTCATCTTCGATGTAACCACATACATATACATAACATATAGTGAGTGCTTTAAGTGAGTCTAAACTTTTGATGGGTAGTATATGTTCTTCTTACGTTTGTGATGTTTACTGTACCTTGGATTCTTTCCAATATACAGTGACGTATCAATCACAGATTACGACAGTCTTTTAACCTGAAGGAAGCCGCAATCGTACTGTATTTTGTATTGCCACATCGAGATAAACATAACGGTATTTTCCCAACATATCTGTCATCACCCCCTTGAAACTCAGAAGTTGGATCTTGATCGTGCATGCTGTAACCAATCTCTTACGTCATCTAAATTCTAAGGATGTCTGAATTTGACACATGTATGTGGACAGATAATTTCACATGGTTCAATTTCGTAGGAGCCAAAGACAGCACCACAAGAGGAGACACATGAGTCCACCATCACAGCCACACCCAGATGACAGGGACTGGCGACCTGTACCGCCCACCGCCTGCAGACGGTCGGCAACCAGCGGGTCGGCAAATCAATCGGAGCCTTCTGTCGTGTCTCACGACTATTCTACCTTCACCTCCACTCCGGGCACTGACGAGCATGTGTACGAGCATATCTATGAGACGATACCGCTCTAATACATCCCGATATTTTGCACTTCCACGCACCATTCGTGAGCAGTGAAATATGAATGACGTGTGTTACCTGCCAATAACCAACCAAACAACGAGTTAATCAAAACATCTATATGTTACTAGTAGAGAAACATAATAACAACAAAGAAATGTTGTACAATCAATAAATGGATTTTACAATTGTAAATCAATGCATATATCTGGAAGTATCAGTATATAGCAGAGTGGTCGTACAAATACAGTTACAGATCAATTCAAACAGCGGGATGAAATACAATAGCAGTGGCAATAACAAGTGGTAAGCGGTAAACATATTTACCAAGTAGCACTAGTGCTTTAAGCCAAGGCTAGATAACCAGGGATTGAAAGTATACTCAGTAGCAAAAGTTATTGAGACATGGAATGTTTTCACTGACTATCTTGTGAATGAATGTTTGGATTTGCACCAGAGAGAAAGCTTTGTTTAAATGGGCAAATAACGCAACAAAACCGATGATGTTTGCAAAATCCATATTCGTGAAGAATAGTAGCCAACTGTTCACTTTAACAGACCAGACAACCAGATGCTTATCATTTCCACTCAATGCAGTCTCAAAAAGTGCAGAAGTTAGAAGAAATACCTCCATTCACCATTCTGTAACAAGTTCGATATGTCACGCCTCGGGGGCAATGATTGAGAGCTATATGTACCTGCATACTTCAGTCTGGTATCTCGCAGGCTGACGGCGCTTTTCGATTCGATCAACGGAAACACCGTTTGGCACTGATGATGTATGGCATCATAATAAGTACAGTTATAGACCGTCCGCCAGTAACGTCCCCACGCCAAGACCGATGGATTCGAACCATGCACCTTCGACACCGGTTCCAGCTTGCTACCCGTACAGTAGCATACAGAGGTGCATCTGTTCGACGACGTCCACGGCATCCGCTCATGGTCAATTCTGGCGCGGATGTCACGTCGACATGTCATTCCATAAGAGAGCTGTCGGCCGGACACGACACGGCATAGGTTGACGGTACATCAGGTCATGTGTGCCGGAAGGGGACTGTGTGCTAGGTGGGGGTGTTATGAGGTTGGATAGTAGCAAGGACGCCAATGAATGTGTCTGAAGGGACCTTGGATGCTGTGGGGTGCTTGGGCGAGATTTTGCAAATGACCACTTTACCGTTTCTGCAACAGATAGGCCCGTAGTGAGGTTTCAACACGGAAAACGTCAGACCACATGTTGTTCGAGTTGTACAGGAGTATGATAAAGAGTAGCATGTCATTGAGTCACCCTGACCCGCAACTTCCACTAATGTGTCACCAACTAAACTCTTCTGGAATTTCTTTACTAATCTGCATTAATCTTTGCTGTTCTTGGAGATAATTGTGAAATGGATTTGTAACACCTGACAACAATACCAAAATTTCCAATAACAGCAAGACAATAACGCCTTCCACGTCCATTTAAAGATAAACCACCGTCGTCGACAATATACATAGTTGACTTATGTACTCTTGTAAGCAGCAAATTGGTGTCAACGGCAATAGAGGACAGTTCTGTTCTATCCAAATCTCATGATAGAGTCGGAGTTGAAGTGAAATGTGACTTAACGTCGTACTTAAGAATATTTCGCTCATATGACGACGTGCATGCGACTGTATGTGTGGCTGCTTGTACTAGCCCAGACTTAAGCTGGGTTTGGTTTTTTTATAGTGCTAGCTCACAGAGATCCCATGCCGCAGTTAAGCATGAATACCCCACTCAGACACATTATACTGATTCCGAGCCGACCAGTCCTAGCTTGTTATACCCGATAATGCCGAGCACTTGGCAGGGGCCAACAAGTACCATATTGTAACGTCTTTTGGTATGCCGCGGCCAGGGATCGAACCCACTACACCACGGAGGCGGTGACAGTTAGAGTGTAAAGAATGAACGCTCCTCTGCTGTTGCTGGAGTGGTCAAGCCTAACGACATGGCATGAGAAATGGGCTAGTAGTCTTTCCAAATCTGGAACCTCTTGCAGGTTACATCGTTTGTGATCATGTGGACTTTTAGCTTCAAAGTCCCTTAAGTTTCACAGATTTGTTTAGTTTATGAGGAAAATGTTATTTTTTAAAATAACAGTATTGTAAGAACTTGTTCTGTATCATTGCTCACTGAAAACACTGCAAAATACATTAAATTTTAAAACAGGATATAATCTGGTGAGTTATTGCTGCCATGGGCAAGGGTAAAAACTGGATTTGAACCTTTTAAACAAATTTTGGAGTCGTGGATCATTGGTAGAAAAACCGTGCATGTCAAGTTTCAGCTTTACCAGTCATCAGCTTCATGGAGACACTACCCAGACTCCGAGCTGATCATTGCAAGGTGCCAGGGTAACGACAAGTACCATCTGTTAATGTCTGTTGGTATGATTGTGTGGATCGGAATACCGACCTTCCGCTCTACTTGCACTCAATCTGTACACAGTGAACAGTTACAACAGGAATCCCATACTTGATGTACATCATTAACGCTACTGATGGGATTTCTCCTCCTGACATCGCTGCTGCACTCACAAGAGTGAGATTTCTCCTCCCAACATTTTGTCAGTGTAACTGAGGTTCACTATTGTCACTACTGGGCTATTACACACCTCAATGCCCAGCTGGGCCTTTCAGCTGACATGTTCATACAGAAACAACCATAGTCCACGTTAATGTGATGTCTCTACAGGTACAAGAACCTACTGGCTTATTATAGCAATTACCTTAAAAACCTTTTCTTTGACACTAAGATGATTTCCTGTAATAAACCTAAGAGTAATCTATCTTGGAAGAACCCATAAAGATCCGGGTTAGAATTGGTCTTTAGCAACTCTTGCTTGTCATAGAAGGCGAGTAACGGAATTGGTGGTCAGGCTCGCTGACACATGTCATTGTATCCCCAATTGCGTAGATCAATGCTCCTTGGCAAACAGAAAACCTATATCTTTGACATGTTGATGTTTCTACCATTCCATCGTATCATATCCAGAATATAGAATCTTAAACAAGTCAGAACAAGCATCATTTGTAAATCATGAAATGTAAACAGTAATCTGCTCAAATACATGCATTACCACAGTAAAACTCTGCTGCACAGACCTAGTCCTGATGTTTCCTGACATTGACTTGTATACACCAGCTAGTGCACATTGTTCGTTGTGACACTGACTTGTATACACCAGCTAGAGCACATTGTTTACTGCAACATTGACTTGTATACACCAGCTAGTGCACATTGTTCATTGCGACATTGACTTGTATACACCAGCTAGAGCACATTGTTTACTGCGACATTGACTTGTATACACCAGCTAGTGCACATTGTTCATTCCGACATTGACTTGTATACACCAGCTAGAGCACATTGTTTACTGCGGGGGCGGTGGGGTAGCCTAAAGGTTAAAGCGTTGGCTCGTCACGCCGAAGACCCGGGTTCGAATCCCCACATGGGTACGATGTGTTAAGCCCATTTCTGGTGTCCCCCGCCGTGATGTTGCTGGAATATTGCTTAAAAGCATCGTAAAACCAAACTCAGTCAGTCAGTAGGTTTACTGCGACATTGACTTGTGTACACCAGCTAGAGCACATTGTTTACTGCGACATTGAATTGTATACACCAGCTAGAGCACATTGTTTACTGCGACATTGACTTGTATACACCAGCTAGAGCACATTGTTTACTGCGACATTGACTTGTATACACCAGTTAGTGCTCATTGTTCACTGCGACATTGACTTGTATACACCAGCTAGAGCACATTGTTTACTGCGACATTGACTTGTATACACCAGCTAATGCACATTGTTTACTGCGACATTGACGTGTATACACCAGCTAGAGCACATTGTTTACTGCGACATTGTCTTGTATACACCAGCTAATGCACATTGTTTACTGCGACATTGACTTGTATACAACAGCTAGAGCACATTGTTTACTGCGACATTGACTTGTATACACCAGCTAGAGCACATTGTTCACTGCGACATTGACTTGTATACACCAGCTAGAGCACATTGTTTACTGCGACATTGACTTGTATACACCAGCTAGTGCACATTGTTTACTGCGACATTGACTTGTATACACCAGCTAATGCACATTGTTTACTGCGACATTGACTTGTATACACCAGCTAGAGCACATTGTTTACTGCGACATTGACTTGTATACACCAGCTAATGCACATTGTTTACTGCGACATTGACTTGTATACACCAGCTAGAGCACATTGTTTACTGCGACATTGACTTGTATACACCAGCTAATGCACATTGTTTACTGCGACATTGACTTGTATACACCAGCTAGAGCACATTGTTTACACCACTGCGACATTGACTTGTATACACCAGCTAGAGCACATTGTTTACTGCGACATTGACTTGTATACACCAGCTAGTGCACATTGTTTACTGCGACATTGACTTGTATACACCAGCTAGAGCACATTGTTTACTGCGACATTGACTTGTATACACCAGCTAGAGCACATTGTTTTACATTGCGACATTGACTTGTATACACCAGCTACTGACATTGCACATTGTTTATTGTTTGCGACATTGACTTGTATACACCAGCTAATGCACATTGTTTACTGCGACATTGACTTGTATACACCAGCTAATGCGACATTGTTTACTGCGACATTGACTTGTATAGCTATGCACACCAGCCAGCTAGAGATTGCGACATTGTTTACTGCGCACATTGTTTACATTGACTTGTATACACCAGCTAATGCACATTGTTTACTGCGACATTGACTTGTATACACCAGCTAGAGCACATTGTTTACTGCGACATTGACTTGTATACACCAGCTAGAGCACATTGTTTACTGCGACATTGACTTGTATACACCAGCTAGAGCACATTGTTTACTGCGACATTGACTTGTATACACCAGCTAGAGCACATTGTTTACTGCGACATTGACTTGTATACACCAGCTAGAGCACATTGTTTACTGCGACATTGACTTGTATACACCAGCTAGAGCACATTGTTTACTGCGACATTGACTTGTATACACCAGCAGGAGCACATTGTTCACTGCGACATTGACTTGTATACACCAGCTAATGCACATTGTTTACTGCTACATTGACTTGTATACACCAGCTAGAGCACATTGTTTACTGCGACATTGACTTGT